TGCTCCCTCCCAGTAAGTCCATGTTTTTGCTCCCTCCCAGTAAGTCCATGTTTTTGCTCCCTCCCAGTAAGTCCATGTTTTTGCTCCCTCCTAGCTCCCTGCCAGACAGTCCACATTATGTTGCCGAGAACCAGATTGGGAAACACTGCTGTAGTCGTTTGCTTTTCCTTACCTGAGATCGTTATCCGACTATGTGTGAGTGCAGCTGAAGTAACTAACACCAGCACCCTGTGCTCCCCACCCCCTACCAGGCGACCTGGGTGCACCTTCACCTTCAAGAACAAGTGTGACATTGAGAAGCACAAGAGCTATCACATCAAAGATGACGCCTACGCCAAGGACGGCTTCAAGAAGTTCTACAAGTACGAGGAATGCAAGTACGAGGGCTGCGTCTATAGCAAGGCCACCAACCACTTCCACTGCATCCGCAGTGGCTGTGGCTTCACCTTCACCTCCACCAGCCAGATGACGTCGCACAAGCGCAAGCACGAGCGCCGGCACATCCGCTCCTCCAGCGTGCTCGGCCTGTCCTCCTCCTTCCTGGTGCCCAAGGAGGAGCCAGAGGAGTCCAGCAACGACGACCTGATGGACTTCTCCGCACTCAGCAGCAAGAACTCCAGCCTGAGTGCCTCTCCTACTGCCCAGCCCTCCTCTTCCGGGCAGCCTGTACCGTCGCTGCCGGCCACACCTGCCACTAGCGCCGCCTCCGTCTCCACAGGCCTGACCGCCAAGCCCATGCCTTCGCTCCCCGCCACGGGCCGCATGTCCAGCCTGCTGAGCCAGGCGCTGCCTGCCAACGTGCCAGTGGCCCTGGCCCTCTCCGGCTCCAGCCCCTTCTTCCCACTCATGCCACGCCTCCCACTGCAGCTCCCGCCCACCTCCGCGGCCACGGCCATAGCCTCCGGCGCCAACACTCGCACCTCCCCCAGCGACTGCCAGAGCAGCTCCACCCCCGGGGAGGGCATCACCTCAGCGCCTGGCAGCTTCGCCGCCACCTCCATTGTGGAGAAGATCTCTGCTACCAAGGGCCTAATATCACCCATGATGGCCAGGCTGGCCGCAGCGGCCCTGAAGCCTTCTGGGAACCTGGAGACAGGTGACTGTTCCATAGACCTCCCTCCATTGCAGCCGTGTCCATTTTAAAGACGCACAAACACTATGGTTATTGACTATCACACAGCATTTTAAGAGAGCAGCAGACAACATATTTACAGACTACCACATGGCATCTTCAAAGACCACCCCACTCCATGTTTACTGACTAACACACACACCATCTTCACAGACCACCCACACCATGTTTACAGACCAACACACGCCATCTTCACAGACCACCCACTCCATGTTTACTGACTAACACACACACCATCTTCACAGACCACCCACACCATGTTTACAGACCAACACACGCCTTCTTCACAGACCACCCCACACCATGTTTACAGACAGTATTTAGAAACTACTGCACACCATGGTTAGAGACTGCCATCATGTTTAGAGGCCACTGCACACTAATTATAGAAACTACTGCACACCATGGTTAGAGACTGCCATCATGTTTAGAGGCCACTGCACACTAATTATAGAAACTACTGCACACCATGGTTAGAGACTGCCAT